ATATATGAACTTTTAGAAATATAAACCAAACCAAACCAACAACAAAGAGAACCCCCAAACCGTGCTTCCTCACATTTGGGCTGAATGGCCGTGTGTTGACTCAGTACATGTTTCTTTACAAGTAAAATATTGTAGCAATATATACACTTGAAAAAAAGACAACTTTGAGCAGGAAAAAAGGAAAATATACAAAGATACCTTTTGTATTATATTGTGGTGCTCTTCATTTCGTGGAAAGGGGAAAAAAAAAAAAGGTGGTGGTAGCGAGGAGGATACTTCAAAAAAAACCCAACAAACCAGATATTTTTAAAAAAGGGCTGTATCATCTCGATGTTTTAGCAGCTGTTATTTATGCAATGAGAGAGGAGTGATCTCAAATGGCAACCGAATAAATTGGAGAAAGTTGTCTCAGAATTATTATTTTTTTAACTAATAACTACTTGAGACTTGAAACTTGTTTTTCTAGTAACTACTGCTACAACAGATGTGCTTTCATAGGGCTGCTTTTTTTTTTTGTGTAGCATGATATGTAACATTATGTATGAAAATAGAATACATTGTTTGACTGTAATAAACATTTAACACAGTATTTGTCAGTTTTTAGCCATGGCAATGAAACTGTATTTAACAAACTGTGGAGTGACAGATACAAATCTTAATGACTGGATTCACAAACCATATAGTTAAATTAGAATAGTTATTTTCTATTTCTCTTTGAATAGTTATTATGTTAGTGTATAATAATAGCAATTAGGTGTGTAAATGAGGAAAAAAATGAAAATTATGGAAAATCTACCTCTGAATATTTTGGGTGTTTTCATTTGTACAGGCACTAGAACTACTGACACCACCTGTTCCTGCTAATGAGAGTGCTCGAGTAAAAGCATATGTGAGACGAGGAACAGCGTTTTGTCAACTGGAATTATATACTGAAGGTGAGACCTTGATTTTATGAAAACATGCATGTGGATGTATAGTGACACGCAAGTAATTCTGTTTAGTTCAGTGAGACTGCTCACACCTTTATTTCTTCAGGAGGGATGTTAATGGAGGCCTATACAATCTAGGTATATTTTTGCTATGAACCTTTATACCACATTTCTAAATTTATATTTTATTTTTTAATTTGCTGACTAATTGCAATTTCACTTGAAAAATCTTTACAAGTTTTAAGAAAATTGATCGTAGTCCTAATTTAAGCAGTAAAAATTAGTTTCTCCATTGAGGAAGAGGCTTTAGTGAGTTGTGTATCCTGCTTGGTCTAGTGGGTAGTCAGTCTTTCTGTGCATAATGGCCAGCTATTGACCACAAAAGCTTGGTGGCCATGGAAGGTATTAGTGAGGAGTGAAGGAGAGGTCAGAGGTGAGGTGTTTCCATTGGGAAGCATTCAAATGTAGGATGCAAACTGATACATAACTAGGTTGCACTAGTTTTACTGTTCATGAAGCAATGTTTTATTGGTTTTGAGATTATATTTACAGTATTTCCAACTATAGAACAAATTAACTTAAAATTACTCGAAATATTTCTAAAATGTTTGCTTTTTAAGTGCTTAGTAATATATCACAAACCCATATTAATGAGCAAAATGTTTCATCAAGTAATGTGATTTGTGTGAAAATTTCTCAATTAATGGCATCCCTACTGAGTTCTCCAAGAGTATCAGTTTAGTTTTGTAAGGCAAATTTACAAGTGAAAGTTGATAATAGAAGGTGAAGAATATTCAAAACATCAGTGTTGAAATGCTAAACTTTTCACATCAGTTACCTTTTTCTACCTATGAATCTCTTTGTCATTACCTTACAGCTTCATTTTCACTTGGAAATCTTATAAAAAAGGACAATTAAACCAGATTTTTCATAGATTTCTAGGTTGGAAAAGACCTTAGCGATCATCCAGTCCAACCGTCCCTAATCTCCCATTAAACCGTATCCTTAAGTAGTTCATCCACCCTTTTCTTAAACACATCCAGGGATGGGGACTCAACCACCTCCCTGGGCAGCCTATTCCAGTGGCTGACAACCCTTT